TCCCTTTGCATTCATCTTCTGATTTGTCTAATAAAGGAAATGTCTTCCTTTGTCAATTTCTTCTCTTTGCCAGTAAGGATGGAAAAAGAAAAATTCTGAATTCTCACCTGAGTTCAATGAAAGCTAAAAGCAGAGTAAAAAGATGGCACCTGTAGTCTTCTTTTGTGTCTTCTTGAAAGACAATGCAATACATTAGGCAATGCAATAAGAACATTAAAAGATGATGCAATAATGACAAATATTTTACTACTGTATCACCTACCTAGGGATTTCATCATTCTTCCATTTTCTTATTATTTCAGTCTTGCTTAGTATATTTGGAAATATATAATGACTAGTACTGAAATGATATGTAGGATGAATAACAGCAAAAATGTTTCAAAACTAGAAAAATTAAGATTTGATAATATGAAGATTTATAAAACGGTCCATGGACCCACATAATCACTGTAAGACAGAATAAGTTTTATTCTAATTTTAAAATAAGTATATTTTCTCTTTTCTTTGTAAGACCTCTAAAAAAGAATAAAAGTCATGCAATGTAAATTGCAGAGCTTGGAAAAAAAAGCCCAAAAATGAAAACTGAGTTCAATGGACCCTGATCATATAATGAGGATTAAAGTCTTCAGTTTTAGTTTTACCTAAATATAGCCCTGCCCCAAGTGAAGATAAGGCCTCAAGACAAAGAAGAAGTGTTAACTACTACAATTTTTTAAAAGTTTGTCATCTACCATTATCACCAAGAGAAAATTTTTCAAGTTTGATATAACCATCAAGATAGAAACTATGTGTGCATGCATGTGCACACACACACACACAAAAACACTACACACATAATAACAGCTCTGGATCTTAAATCACCCCACCGACTCAAGAGATTATGGTCCTCCTTTCATGCCCATGTATACAGATTTACCACTCTAGTATTCCCTTTGATAAGTGTATCCATGTAACCATTTCTCTACCAATGGACATTTAGGCTAGCTCCTGTTTTTCTCTATTACTGATACTGTAACTATGACCATTTTGCTCCAAACAGCTCAGACATTTAAAAAGTCACCCTTTATTACCACAAGCATTAGATTAAAAGTAAAAGCACTTTCCCAAGTGTTACATGGGCTGCTCCCTTGGCTGGGAAAGTACTTCAGCCCTGCTCTTTTGCTCATCCTTAATCTCAGTTTACTGAATATACCACCATTACTCCACTCTAAATGAGGCATTTTATGCTCTCATAATACTTACTGCTTTTCCATTCTAGCACTTACTGCACTTTTTGATGATACCAATGTTAAGGTCAGTCAGCTCCATTCAACTAAGCTCCACAGGGGGAGGGAGCCAGCACAAAGCCTGTTATCAAGGGACCAAGCTATACCTGCCCTGTAGACAGAAACTGCTGCCTTTACTGGCTGGCTATGTTCTAGAGAAGATGAACTAATCCACCACACAATCACATGCTCCAAAATTTTCAACAGCAGAAAGGACAATTTTTTTAAAATGACAACTTCCAATGTTGACAGGCTGTGGGCAAACAGGCTCCTCGTGCCCTGTTGGGAGAGGTCTAAAATGGTACCATCTTCCTGGTGGGGAACTTGGCCACATACATGGCCGTGCAATTGCACTTCTAGGACTGTGACTCACTAAAATAGCCACAGATATACACAAAGATTTAACTAAAACAATGTTCTTCATGATGTATAACAGGAAAAGGTGCAAACAACCTAAATAACCATGTGTCTGTTGAAAAAAATAAACTGGTATGTGCACACAATGGAACACTTAGCAGTCATTATTAAAAGTGCCTAGCTACACACTGAATCCGAGTCCTCCATAGAATTACTAAGTAGCATGATCAATATTCATGATAAGCACATCAGTGAAAATAGGTGGTTACTGTATAACATCATCCCATCTTTGTAAAATAGGTAGGTGCATGTATTTACTTGTATATGTGCTAACATCCACCAAAATGTTTATTATTATTTATGAGTGGTAAATGTATAAATTGTTTTACCTTCTTGAATTAAAAAATTTGTATAGTTCATATGCATTACTTGTAAAAAAAAAATTTAAGTTTTCCTTTGAAAATGTCTCTCTTTGCTCCCTACCAGGGGCCCTAGTAAATCAGGGACAGCTTTAGGTGGGAGGCCAACTATTTCATTTACTACTTCAAAGAAAAAGTCTTATCCTTTTTATTTTTATTTATTTATTTTTAACGTCTTTATTGATTTTTGAGAGAGTAAGGAAGGGAGAGATAGAAACATCAATGAGAGAGAGAAAAACATCGATCGGCTGCCTCCTGCACACTCCCTACTGGGGATCAAGCCCGCAACCCAGGCACATGCCCTGACCAGGAATCAAACAAGGACCTCTCAGTCCCTGGGACAAAGTTCAATCCACTGAGCCACACCAGCCAAGCTTATCCTTTTTAATTATTCTCATTTCTGAAGCACTGGAAAAAGCCAGTCTCTGAGCCATTTCTGAAGGGCACTGTCTCTACCTCAAACTATACGTGATTACGGAAGGGACAAAAAGGAGAAAACAAAGGGCACAAGTCGATTTGAACTTTACTCTTGGCAAAGTTCCTTATAGACATGAGATGAGCCCAGAAGAGCAGATCTGCTACAGCCTCTGCCCGCAGGCCTGAGCCAAGCATGGTTGCCCTAGTGAGTGATGGGGCAGGCTCAGAGACAGCAACAGGCACTTTCCCTTTCTGACAATAAACTGAGTACTTCCAAGGAGGACTCCAAGCAGGGAAAAGTGCCTGGAAAGCACTGATAATACTTAGGACCTGTGGTTCCTGAACCCTGACCATGCTTTATAATTATTCCAAGAGCACATTAAAACAGAAAAAAGAAAATGACAGACTCCTGGGTCTCACCCTAGACCTACTGTATTAGAATCATGTAGGTTGATCCAAGGGATTTTTTTTAACTTCTCAAATTATTCTAAAGTAGACAATCCACATACCAGTGTTCAGTGATCTTTTAACAATTGCTGGCTAGAAGAAACAGAGAAATATCTATTCCATCTGACTCCAATTAGATTAGCATCAAAGTCAAAAAATGAAAAGCCTCCAATAGGACTCAAATTACACTAGCTTTTGGTGTTTTACCAAATCTCACCACTGAGAAGCTCATCCTTTTGACTTCACTAAATCCTCCTCTTCTAAGTTACAGTCCATTCTCCTTTATTTGGTCCACAGTGGACCCTGGAGATCAACTCTGTTAAAATGTGATTACAGCCATGGACAGTTTGGATCAGAGGTTAGAGCATTGGCCCTTGAACCCAAGAGTCTCAGGTTTGAGTCCTGGTCAAGGGCACATACCTGGGTTGCAGCTTTAATCTGCAGCCCCAGTTGGGGTTGTGTGGGAGGCAACTAATCAATGTCTCTCTCTCACATTAATATCTGCCCTCCCCCCCCCATCTAAAAATTAATAGAAAAATATCCTTGGGTGAGGATTAAAAAGAAAAAGTGATTACACTGAAAGATGGAAATTCACTAAATGCACTGTAACAAAACAAAAACAACTTCCCTACCCCTCACTGTGTAGCCAGCCCTGAAATCACTGAACACCATCCTGAGCTGGAATACCCTGGGGGAGCAACTGAACACAATGGAACACAGCAAGCACCCTGCTAAGGGTCCACTTGGGTTCATACCTAGCATCACACACTTACACCAACGTTCTGTACAAGATTTTATTCTCTGTGAACTTGTTTCCTGAACAGAAAAAAATCACATGCTTCCCAGGGATATTTTCAGCTGGCATCTCGGGCTGTGATTCAATAGAATCATGAAATCTCAATGTTTTCTATCCACTGAGTTTCTTCTGGACCTATGGTGGTAAGACTATGCCTTACCAGAGATATTCACTAAGGCTCTGACCCCACGGTGGTATGGAGTCACTGATTTCCTAAGACCCATATTCCCATTTAGCCACAAAGAGTTAATTAAAATCCTTTTCCTATTGTAGCAGTTTCAAAACATGGCCTCCCAAGTTCTCTGATATTCCTTTCATCCAGAAGTGGGGTTCTCAACACTGTGAAATGTACTAAATGCCACGGGAATGTAGGCTTAAAAATTATTAAAATTGTGAATTTATATTATGTGAATTTTACCTGAATTTTAAAAAGTGAGATTCTACCTCTTTTCCTTTTGAATCTGGACTCTGTGCCTGAATGACCTGTAGAATAAGGCAGAAGCAATGCTGTGCTGATTTCTGGGCTCAGGCTTTAAGAAACTGGCAGCTGCTTCCATTTCCTGTCTTCTAGGATGCTCACTCTTGGAACCGAGCCACCATACCATGAGGATGTATAAGCTGTCTTTACAGGTTAACTAGGAGAAGAACTGAGGTCTCTGAGCCAGAGCTCTCACTCAGTTCCCAGCCAAAAGCCAACAATAACTTATCAGTTGTGTGAGGGAGCCACCTTGAAAGTGGATTCTCCTGCCTCAGCCAAAGCTATGTAGAGCAGACAAATTCTCCCTGCCAACCCCCACCCAACCTGCAGATTCATGAGAAAAATGAATGCCGGTAGATGTTTAAGCCACTAAGCTTTGTGAAGGCTGGTTATGCAGCAATAGAGAACTGACACTTGAATAAAGGATGGCTGGTCAAAATGGTTTCAGAAAATTCTCTAACTTGATACCATAAATCACAGTAGATTCTGACAAGTATAATCTTGAGCACCAAAGAATTCATCCATGCATGTTCTTCACAACTCAACTGAGTCACAATCTTTCTAACATGTTCATTCAAAAGGATGTCAGAGTAGAAAAGAGGGCATCTGACTTTCTGACTTCCTTGATAAGACTTTTTATTAAAAAGAGAAAAAAGGCAAGAAAGCTACCAGGGTACAAAATCTTGTAAGCTATCAAATAACAGAAATTATGAACAGCTCTCAATGCATCTTCTTAGAAAAAAGCAACTTGAGGTGATGTCTTTCATACTCGCTTGCTCGGCCAAAAGTGTCAAGGAACTTCAACTCTATTCTCTCCTTACCTCCAGCCTCTCAGGTTGGGGCTCATTCTGCAGAATCCTCAAAGCTTTCGCAGCAGCATCATGTTTTGCAGCCTGTCTTGTCTTTCCTTTCCCATTAAATTGCTGTCCTCCCACAGAAAGTTCAACTTGATAAAGTAAGGGTGGTACTGGAAATGGGTAAAAGTACCTAAAAATAAAAGGGGGTGAGGAAAATTACGGTCTCAGATTGATAAGTCACCCATACATTCTCTGGCAAATTGCAGGTACTTCCTTCATCAGGTCTTAATCGCATTAGTGTTTGCTTGCCAATGAGGACTCCTCATCATATATGCAGAATAAATCTACTCTGGATTAGAATTGTCACACAGTATTTATAAAATCCAAAATGAGCCTGGCCAGTGTGGCTCAGTGGACTGAGTGTCATCCCATGGACTGATAGTTCCCAGTTTGATTTAAAAAAAAACAAAACTATAAAAGCATATATATATATATATATATATATATTTCAAAATGAATTAAGCTTTGGCTGAATCAAAAAACTTAACTTGCTCTCCTTTCTCATATCTGAGAGTCACACCTGCGTCTTTCCACAAAAGTCTGGGAAAAAAATTTTTTAAGAGAGAGAGGAAGGGAGAGGGAGATAGAAACATCCATGTGAGGGAAATACATCCATAGGCTGCCTCGTGCACGCCCCCTACTGGGGATCAAGATCACAACCCAGGCATGTGCCCTGATCAGGAATCAAACAGGGACTTCTCAATCCACTGAGCCACACCAGCTGGGCAAGGCTGGAAATTTTCAGACAAGTCTTTTCAAAAAGACCCTCATTTATGGAAATCCCCAAAGCCTGTAGCTTGGCAGCAGCCAGACTACAAACTTCAGAGTTTATATTTTTAAAATGGCTTTGCCCTAGCCAGTTTGGCTCTGTGGTTAGTGTCGGGCCCTTCAAGGGTTTGATTCCCAGTCAAGGACACGTACTTGGGTTGCAGGTTCAATCCCTGGCCCTGGTCAGGGTCGTGCAGGAGGCAACCAATTGATGTCTCTCTCTCACATCAATGTTTCTCTTTCTCCCTCTCTCCCTTCCATTCTATCTAAAAATCAATGAAAAATATCCACAGGTGCACGGGTGAGGATTAACAAATAAATAAATAAAAATGAAATAAATAAAATGGCTTTGATCTCTCTCAAGTAAGGCAGGAAAATGATGACTCTCAACTTTGATCATCACTCTATCCCACTGATGTCTTATGATTGAGAGCAGAAGCTTTTTATTAACACATGGTATTTTCAGGTTTCAATAAGTACTGCACTATACTTGTCCACAAATGCTATTTACAAAGCACGTAAATTCAAATGTCAAAAAGTACCCATTAAATAAAAATCAGGAAATCAATGAATGCAGAGAATTCCAGTATTGCAGGAATCATGTTCAAATGTGATTCAGTTAGCCCTGGCCGGTTTGGTTCAGCGGTTAGAGTGTCGGCCTGCAGTCCTGAGAGACCCGGGTTCGGTTCCCGCTAAGGGCACGTACCGCAGTTGCAGTTTGTCCCCGGCCCTGGTTGGGTCGTGTGGGTGGCAACCATTCGACGTGTCCCTTTCACGTCAATATTTCTCTCTCTCTCTCCTATCTGAACAAAAAATAGAAAAAATGTCCTCGGGTGAGGATAAAAAAAAAAAAAAATGTGATTCAGTTAAACAAAGCAGTAACAAGGGTGATCTTTAACCAGATTGCTTGAGTGCACAAGCAACACTGCTAGTGAGGAACATGCTCAGGTCTTTCCCAAACACAAAAGATAAAAGAACATCAAGATACATTCCAAAGATATCAAAACAATGAAGACTGACTTCAATATCAGGGCAAGCCAAAGATGACCAAATCATCATGTGCCCCACAATCTATAGATTTCATTATTCTTTATAAAAGATCAGATAAAATTTCACCTGTATTTAAAACACAAACAGCCCTGGCCGATTTGGCTCAGTGGTTGGAGCGTTGGCCTGTGGACCAGTGAGTCCCGGGTTTGGTTCCCGCTAGGGGCACGTACCAAAAAATAAAAATAAAATAAATAAATAAAAAAAAACAAACACAAACATACCTTGGGGGATAAGCACCTCCTCTCATGTTGTAGTTATAGGTGGACTGCATCCGAGAGTAAGGGTCAACAGGCTTATACATTGGTTTTGTCCCAAGTTTCATGCACAGTGCATTTAGCTCTACAGTAGGGGTTATGCTGTCTGCAACACAGAATTAACACAAGCACAGTATTTTTCTTTTTCTGACATGACAATGAATGATAGTCACTAAAATAAAAAAGGATAGCATGCTTTCTACTAATTGGATTCATGATACAGTTCATGAAAGGGTCTAAGTACTTCACTGCTAGGCATCAGGTCAGGAAATCCAAGAATCTGCTGTGATTTCTAGATATTTATACAATCAACAGCACAAAATATATATATATATATCAGCTTCCCAGGTGATGGCTCAGCTGGTTGGAGCATTGTCCTATACACCAAAAATGGTTGCGGGTTCAATCTCCGGTTAGGGAGCATATTGAAAGCAACCGATCAATATCCACCCCCCACCCCCAAATCTCTCTAAAATCAGTAAAACATATCCTGGGGTGAGGTTAATTTTTTTAAATCCCAGGTGAGCCCTGGCCAGTTTGGCTCAGCGGTTGAGCATCGGCCTGTGGACCAGAGAGTCCCGGGTTTGGTTCCCGCTAGGGGCATGTATCACAAAATAATAATAATAATAATAACAATAATAAAATAAATAAAATCCCAGGTGACTGCTAAAATCACTTTATTGTTTGGGAACACTTAAATGATATAACTATGGTTGTACTGACTTACTGAGTTATTGGCTTATACTGAGAAGTATGTTTGTACACACAATTACATAGAACAATGCATTTATTCAGTACTAACTGGATGCAAAGGGCTGTATTAAGCTTGAGGGGTGCAATTCTTGCCCAGATAAGCTCAAAGCACACAAAATTCACTCAAAGAACTGCAACAGGATGTGTTATAAAGGCAGATGTAGAATCACAGAGGAGAAGGCAAGTAAATTCTATTTGGAGAAGTTAGATGAGACCCACAAAATATTCAGATATTTCCATTCTATTTATAATGGGATCTGACCAATTAATCATGTGGTAATACTTGTTAGGAAAATGAGTTTTCACAGACAACAGGAACGAGTTTATCTTGGGTTACACCTTAGAATTATCAACTTGAAAAAATACACACTATTCATTTCCCATTTTTTTCTAAGTTCATCCAATTCGTAAACCTTTAAAAAGAAAACCAACCTGAAAAGATTAGTGTCAGTGCACAATCATATTTAAAAACAACACTTTCATATCAAACACAGAACAACACTAGCAATGGCAAAGTTCAATTTAAATGCACACAAAAATCCACTTTAAAATGCCTCTTTTGTATGTTTATATAGAGGAAAATAAAAATGACTTGATTCTGTACTATAACTGGTCTGATTAAATTTAGTGCATGAATCAAATTTATTTTGGGGTTTGCAAAATCAGAGGGTCACATGAATAACCAACCCATCTCCAACATCAGAATTATATTTTTACAAAATTCATATAGTTGCATATTAAATATAACCTGAATCATTTTAAGAGCAGCTCTGACCCATCAAATTTATCTGCAATAGAGAATGGATTTAAAGACCTAATACCACAAATAAATCAAAAGCAATGAGAAAGTTGTGACCGAGTTCTTCCCAGATCATTTCTATGTACAAAGGCCTGGGATGACTTCATGTACTTGAGGAGTAATTCTGCTAAAACAGCCACTTCTCCCACAGCCACCAGGTCAGTGGTTCCCAACCTTTCAGCAGACACTCTTCTTTATTAGTATTCTTCTCGCTTGGTGCCCTTGTTTGAAGAGATGTTATCTATTGATTTGTATGTAAGTTATTTTTTCATTATTTTAAAGATCGGAGACATATAACTGACAATCACGGTTTCTGATCAACATGTTATCATCACTATTAGCATAGAGTTGAAGTGATTCTAGCTAAAACCTACATTTTTGGCTATCTGTACAACCTCATCAAGGGAAAAATACGTTTTTTCACTAAGCTTTTCCAAAATTTTAGTAATGTTTAGTGACACCCCCTCCTCCCATGATTGCCTCTCCAGATCGTCAGGAATCGAGGGACCATAGGTTGGGAACCACTGTTTTAGAGTCTGGATAAGCATTTGCCACTGGTAGTGCGGAATCTGTGCTTTCAAAATCAACAAGTTAGTTTAGAAAGAATTCATATACATACTAAATGGGTACCTCTAGACATACTTTTGAAAGGAACCTGTCTTGGCCCACGCATAATACCTGGATTCCTTCCTTCGCTACGAAAAGGGCGGACTATGGGTTTAGGAAATTTTGTTCCTTCCAAAGCTTTGGCAGCAGCTGTATGTTGGGCTTTTTTAATACTAGTTCCTTCAGCTTCCCAGTGCTGATCTCCAAGTGTTAGCTGTACTGTAAACACCTACAAATGAAAATTGTGAGCTCTCAATTCATGAAACCCGATGTTAATTGTAGTATGTCACTTGGACCTTGAACATTTTTTATGGTCATGGTTTAAAAGGCCTGGTCATTATATTGGTAATTTATCCCATCACCACTTTTTTTTGTTGTTTTTATAACACACACACACACACAAATATATATATAAATCACTGACTAGCAATGCATAGCACTCCATGAAAAAGCTATGCTTTGAAAGAGGGAGTAAGTACAGAGATTTAAAAATGTTTTCTTATATATTAAAGTATTAGACACATTATTTGGAAGTCATCAAAACAGAACCTGTCTTCCAATGACTTCTCATGGAAGAAATTTAGCAAACTTGATTTAGACACATAATAGTACCTCATAAAAATTAAGACAATATTTGTTTTGATGCTGTAATGTGTTTGTGGACTCTGAAAACACAACCCCAGTAGGACAAAAACGAATAAATTTGGGGATGTCAGCCAGGTTCTAAAATGTTGCCTTTCACTTTCCTAAGATTGCACTATTCAGACGCTGCCTCCACTTTCAGACGAAAATCAGACCCATAACAAGCAAAGAGCTAAAAAACATTTCTGAACTCAATTCTGAGGAGGCATCCAAAACAGGTAATTTTGTTCTCAACAAATGGCAAGCCTCTTTTTTCCTTTTTTAAGTATAAAGGTAACTCCACTCCATTGTCTAAATTAGGTTATGCTAATGCTATCAGTATTGAATACTGTCAGAAAACGACCCATCAGAGCACTGTGATAAGTTAACTTTGGTATGCACCTGAAGAATAACTTAGGAAACTTGGTAAAATACACACACCCAGAGATTTCAAATTAATAACATGAGAAACAACTTAGCATGTCTAATTTTAATAAGCTCCCAAAGTGATCTTGATGCACTCCAAAGTATGAGATTCACTACTTTTGAGGGTTTATTTTCCTGTTTTTATCACTGAATATCATCACTTTATTTCATTTAAAATAATTTATATGAGAAGTGTTTATTTCAGTATGTCTAGGTCATTTCAGTTTGGTGCCTAAAGGGATGGGGGCGACTTGCCTTCATAGCTGATTTTTCTTGTAGGTCTTAACTTCAGGATTCCCTCAGTGCACAGCTTCCACTACAGGGGAAAAACGAAAGACTCCTTCATCCCCCTTGACACATGAGGGGCCTCCTGTATTTATGCTGCAGTTCACAAGGTTAGTTATTTAAGCTCCAATAGCATGAATGCAAACCCCTGGCTGGCCTGTGAAGTCTGAGTAGAAGCCTGCAACACTGTGCAAGCTCTGGATCATGTTCGTGATCCTTTCATGGAAAGACACTGAAGGGGAAATGCTAAAAAACAAAATTAAGAGTTAAATCCATTAATAGTCTTGCCTTTCTCCAGGACCTGACTCATCCAGCGCTGCTGTCAGTCTGTTGCCTTCTGTGTGGAAGGTTGGTAGTGAGTTAGAATCTTGGTTTTGATAGAATTAAGAGTACACAAGACCTCTGACTTTTTAAATAGTCTAATAGTAACCTAGGAGGGAATAACTTTTTCTCTTTGAATGAGTTGTAGGTTTAAAAAAATGCAGTTATAGATTAAACACACAGCCAAATTACCTGAAGTACTAAAGTTCAAGTGAGAAAGTATATATTTAAAAATATATTTTAAAAAAATACCAACATAGTTAATTAAGGGAATCCCAAAGTTAAGGTCTGCAAAAAAAATCCTGTAGAAGAAACAGAACAGTTACAGAAAATGACTAATTGCCTGCTGAAAGTAAAGACACATTTCATATTATGCTTTAAAATAATGTTAAAACTAGTTTCATGTGAGTTGAAACTTTGTTTTTCTTAAATGTATAATTGTTTAATAATAATAGCTACCATTTCTCAAGCATTTACTAAATGCCAGGCACTATGCTCCACACATCTATTCCCTTCTTCAGTTTTCACAATACACCTATGTAGTAGGTATTATTATCCCCATTTTACAAATGAGGAAACTTAGGTTTAAAAAAGCAGTAACTTGCTCAAGGTCACACAGCTAGAAGCTAGGATCCAAATCCAGATCTGACTCCAAAGGCCACTTACCTAACCATCCTATGCTATGGTGCACATTTATGATAGTGGTTGGTGTTACTTTTAGTAAAATGTAAACAGAAGCTTGATATCATTTAAGGGTTGAGGTTTGCAGGTCAAGAAAAATGAGGCATAAAGAAAAAAAATAACTCATCCTTACTTATGTTACTGCAAAGCTAGGATCAGAAATAGGAGGCCAAATTCCTATCCCTCATACTGTAACTTCTCATTCTACATCCCCTCAGTGGCAACAGATAAAGCCAGATATGCAAACATTTATGTTCCAAGATCTATATTAGCATGAATATCAAACAAGCTTAAAAAACTGAACTCCTGAACAAACAGTAAACATTCAAATTACAGTCATCTCTTAATCTCTAAGATAAAGGGAATGACAAGGATCACTGAGACCAGAAACAATCCAAAATACTCACTTTCAGCCTGATTTCTACCTCTTATCTTCAAACTTTTTTTTTTTTTTTACCTGATGGTTAATAAGGGACAAAACTGATATCTAGTTCACCCCTTTCCCTGCCTAGTCTAAGGTACACTTGCAAACAAGCAGGAAAAGAGCCAGAGGTAGGCTGCAGCCTGGAAAAATCAGAGGAAATCATTCACAGGTGCTTGAGAATTGTCTTTATTCAGAATCCTAAACTTTGATACACTAATTGGAGCTTAAAAGCCGAATATCCTAAACAGAAGTATATCTTTTATTTGACACATTCTACAAGGATGAAAAAAGAAGCAACTTGCCAAAAATCTATACTTTTCGCATCTCTTTAAGACAACCTCAGCAGTTTGAAAAATACGTATTTTGAATCAAAGAACCACTCGCAACAGTATAAAAAAGACAAAAAACATTCCTGGTGGGTTATAAATGCACAAGCAGTATGAACAATATTTACCTTACAGTGAGCTGGACCTTGCTCACGCAAAAGCTTATACTCAGGCTGAATCTTGTTGAAACGGGCTAACTCATTCACAAGACACATTGGGGTTTTCTCTTTGGGGTGTGCCATGCTAGAAGGAACTGAAAAATAACGTAAGAGCAATGAAGTCAAGTATATAGACTGCTGCTCTCCTATGGATCTGAAAAAAGAGGAAAAGCAAACTAAAGGTCTAAAGATTTAGAGTGGCAGTGATGCAAAACTGCAAACCACATTGGGGGCACGTGCCTGAAGACAGCTGGATCTTTTCTAAACCAGCTGAGGCCAGCTCACCTAGGAGAGAGTGTCTTCAAAAGAGAGAGAATAGAAGTTGGGGGAATAACTAAACCATGGCAGGCAAGCAAGATGTGAAATCAGATGAAGCACTGCTCTTACAACCAACCAAGGGAATAACGAGGAGGTCTTTTAAGCAGACACACTGGTTACCACAACAGCTGTCAGCTGTATTCTGTTCGTTATTTCACAAAACACAACATGCCAACACCGTTTCTCAAACAAAGACGGTCATTTTCCACACATTTAACCTCTCATTCCTGGGTATTCCCTAATCTGATCTGCATAGGCTGCCATCCTCTGACCTTATCTATGTCTGAAAATTATGTAAGGAAAATAAAATGGCCTCAGTGGGCAGGCGCTTTACAAAGTCAATAGGATATGGATGTAAGACACATTAGAAGAAAAAGCAATAAATCCCAGAGTACAGAAATAGTTGGTGCCACTGCCTTTTAAGACAGTCTCAAGTGACAAATGTGGGGAAAAGTGAACCTCTAGGGATTGTGACAAGTCAAGAATACTATCTGGTGAGCCGGTCCAACGAAGTCTAGAGCCATGCAGCTCTGAGTGGGACAACCTAACACTCTAAGAATAGATTTACAAAGTAAAGGAAATGAAAGAATGAAATGCAAAGGAAAACGGTCAGGTAAGAGGGGTTTAAAAGGCATTTGTTATAAGGTGACTCTGACGTGGAGATATCCATGCTGACACTCCATTTAATTGGTTTTGACATTTTAGGGAGAGGGAGGGAGAATACTGTTTTTGAGGTTTTTTTATTCAGGAGTTTCAGATCTTTTCTTATCAATGAGCACAATTCATTTTTAGTTTCCTAATAATCAGATCTGAATGCTTCTAAACGTATTTCCTTTTTATAAATCTCTGCTTCTTTGTTCAATTTCTAACTGGTCTTCATTATGATTTCTGAACTACCTCTGGAATCCCCTCATCTTAAACTTATTCAGAATAAAAATTAACAAATGCCAATGCACTCTTCTGCTTGCCAGTAAACCTGACTGTCCCCCTGCTTGGGATAAATTCTTATAGACAGCCCTGGCCGGTTTGGCTCGGCGGTTAGAGTATCGGCCCACGGACCAGAGAGGCCCGGGTTTGGGTCTCACTAAGAGCACGTACCTCAGTTGCAGTTTGTCTGAGGCCCTGGTTGGGGTCATGTGGGTGGCAACCACTCAATGTGTCTCTCTTGCATCGATGTTTCTCTCTCTCTCTTCCTCCCTCTCTCCCTCCTGCTCTATATCAAGATAAAAATGCAAAGGTGTCCTCAGGTGAGGATTAAAAAAAATAATAATTTTTATTTTTACATACAAAATGGGGCTTAGACTGGCCAGTGTAGCTCAGTGATTGAGCGTCGACCCATGCATCAAAAAGGGGGCTTATACCTATAACAGTTTTTTGTCAGTTTTGGGAAATAATTTTAAAAGTAGAATTTTCCCACACAACAATGACTACCCAAAGTAGAATTTAGGGTTCAATTCTCTCTGCCAGCCACCACTTTATAACAGACTAGGCCTTCTAGTTTAGTTTTCAGTTCTCTTTTTTTACACTTTGAAATGGTCTGTCAACCAAGACCTCCATCAACCCAATATACATCTAAGTGGCTTATAGGTGGGATAAAAAAGCTCAGGCAGTAATATTTTCTTCTGCTTCTTGAAGGCAAATGTGAGCGCTCCCTACCTCTACAATCTACTTATCAGATCAAAAAACAGGCTGAGAACACATTTGAAACAGAAGACACTTGGATTCATACGCTTACCTGCAGCTGCACTGGTGGATGTAATAGATGCAGAGGGTAAAGCAGAGTTTTGAATAGGTCTACCTGCATTTTCAGAGGGCAGAGAGCTAGTAGTAGAAGGAATACTCATCAAAGGCTGTGAGAGAAGAGACTGGTTCTTGTTCAGTATTTGGCTCCCTGAGAGAGCAGCAGATGGGTTCTGAACTTGCACTTGAACTTGAGACATGGTCACTTTCAACAAAAGTGAACAACTGCAGGTTAACAGCTTTCAGTGCTGGTTAATTCAGTGCTATGAAGTCTAAAGTTCTACCTAAAAGTTGTAAGGGAAAGAAAATAAAAAGGTAAATTATAGAGGAGATATGTAATTGCCAATATTCAGTCAAAATTGGTGTCACCTTCTCAAGTATGAAAACAGCCCCGTTTAGCATGTAGCTATGTCAATGTATTAGAACTGTTCCTCCTAGGTATACAATGAGGTTCCTGGCCTTGTGACTTTTTTTCAGTGTTTTTAAATTACTTACTATACTCATATGATCTGCATATTTATTTTGTGAAGAAAATCAGCAGGGTATAATACTGGTGACTCTTAAGAATTATAAATTGCAGCTTATATTAAAAATATACAAATTTTAAAATATGGGGAGGTTTTTCCATAGTATATGAAATATGGTAAAGATTTCTGGCCTCAAAATTCTAAGACTGAAAGCAAACTGAGTTGCAACACCATTAATAAGTGAATGTAAACACTGCTTGCATTTAGAGGCCACGTACTCAGACTGGCATCTTTAGAGCTTCCCTCAAGTTAACTGAAGAAAGAGAAAAATCTCTCACTTCCACTGTTCCTTTTTATGATGATAAAAGATCAATTTGTTTTCCTAAGAGGTTTGTTCCAGACCCCAAAAAGAAAACTGTTACACCCACGTGAATGCTTGATCCTGAGAAATATGAATAGCAAAGAACATTCTATAGTATTTGTACTATTAAAAGCAAAAATGAAGATGAAGAGAGGAACAGATTTCAGACTGGCAATTTTTCTGGTGTGGCTGGTGAGGATAGAGCCTGGGGAAGCAGAGGAGATTGTTGCATCTAGTAAGTTCCAAAGGCATTCTTTCTAAATACATTTTGATTTGTCCACAAGTAAAAAATAAGGACAGTCTGCTCATTTTTATGACCATCCTTCAAAAAGCTGAAAATACCGAAGGCAAAAGTACTAAAAAATAACTAGTGGCAACAAAGAACAGAAAATCCAACCAAAGCAGAAACCAGCAAACTAACAAATGAGAAGTTTTATTACAGAGTAATTATTCATCACTTTAATTTTTTAAAAAGTCTCAAAATGATTTTTAATGAAAACTGGACCTCTAGAAAGAAATGAATGACCAGAGCAATTAAGTTACATGAGGAGTCCTGGCACATTCTCTCTTTCTGAGAGCAAAAAGAACTGCAAAACTCAACTAAACCAGACCAAACCAAACCTAAAGCCTCAGCTGAAATATGACTTTGAATCACAGAGGCATAAACATTACCCCATTCAACAAAATTGCCCAATATTGTTCCTTGTTTACTTCTGAAATCAGAACAAAATAACAGTTCCACTGGAGATCTAGATAATGATCTTAGCAGACAAGCTGCCAGTGTCAAGAAACATGTCCAGAACCATTTAAAGCCAACTCTGACCTTGTTTCATTGTTTTTATTTCCTTCAGCTGACAAAATATAAATATTTCTCTCTTGATCTTCTTCCTCCCTTTTTTATTCACCTCCTTCCTTTCCCTCTCTTTCTAACCTCTGTCTTGAGGGCATTTTTCTACCAAAAATACAAAAAAGTCATTTATAGTATACTCACAACTTCAGGACATCAACCACAGATCACAGGTCAAAAAGTAGCCAAAAGCAAGTGTTTGCTTCAAGGTCTACCCATATTCCAGAAGGAGCAACCCAACTCTTACTCTGGGTGGTCTTACAGTCTGTGACTGAATGAATGATTTAAATTTAGAAAGGGAGAGGCCCAAAGGGATCTATTTTGGCTAATGCTGTCTATAGCGGACCCAATACCAGCATTTCCATCACAGACAAAAATACACAGGTTTTCTAGAAGTTGAGAAAGGGAACAAAGAGGTTTTAAAATAAGACTGTTCCAAAGACATGTGACAATGTCTGAAGACATTATTTGGCTATAACTAGGGGACGTGGAGACCTACTGGTATCTAATGGGTTGAGGGGTCAAGGATGCTGTTTCAAGTACAAATATACTAACCCACAAAATAAAATCTTACCAACAAGTAGCTTATATATTTTCTTCTTTTTTAAAAATATTTTTTTATTGACTTCTTAGAGAGAGAAAGGGAAGAGAGAGATAGAAGCATTGATGTGAGAGAGATAGATCAATCAGCTGCCTCTTGCACACCCCCTACTGGGGATAGAGCCCACAACCTGGGCATGTGCCCTGACCAGGAATCAACGGGGACCTCTCAGTCCATGGGACGAAGCTCAAGCCACTGAGCCACACTGGCTGGGTGGTAGCTTATATATTTTCTTAGACAGAAAAAGATAATCCTCTTTTCCCCTCAAAGGCTCTAAAAAACTGATGCTAATTCTTTACTCAAACAGATGCTCCTCTCCCCAAGTCAGGCAACTATCATAGTTATAAATGGGAGAAAATACAGTGTTTACCCACATAATTCAAAGAACAAATACAGCTTTTGTCTACTGCTGTTTAGATAGTTCACAGCAGCCTTCAGGGGAATCATGGAATTTTGGATATATAACTTCTGTATAAATTTGGAACCTGGTGCTCACCAGTAGTCTGTCCTGAAGATTAAATCCTTAACTGAAAACTTGTCTTTTCTTTTTAACCTATCTTTAAGGATTGTTTTCTACCAGATAAATTAAGGATTCAAGAGAGATTAAAATATTTTTGTTGGAGTCTTCTTAGAGAAGAACAATATTTTACACACAGTAAAATTAGGTTGAAAAAATTTTAAACACAAAGACTCCTCAGTTTTTCCCAGTGTTGAAAACACTTTTGACTCTTAAGCCTGTGTTATGCTGCTATTTCCCTGCCTCCAACACAGATGAGGACCTTAGTTTTTTTCTGCTTGAAGAATTTTAGACATCAACTCAGAAAAACACACTCATCTTATTTTCAAATCCTAAATTTTTTTTTATCCTCACCTGAGGACATTTTTCCATTTTTTGTTCAGAGAGTGGGAGGGAGAAAGAGAGAGAGAAACATCAATTTGAAAGGGACACATCGAGTAGTTGCCACCCGCACGACCCAACCAGGGCTGGGGACAAACTGCAACCGAGGTACGTGCCCTTAGAGGGAACCGAACCTGGGTCTCTCTGAACTGCAGGCCGAAGCTCTAACAGCTAAGCCAAACCGGCCAGGGCTCAAATCCTAAATTTATGAAGCATATATCAGCACTATAACACAAAGAGGGGTGATATAACAGAATTATGGGAACCTCTTTTGAAAAGACTCCCAAATTCCAATTCTCCCCACCCAGGCATCCCTCCCCTGCCCAATCCCTCCTGGGTCCTAACTTTGGCTTAGGGACACAAAAAAATCTTCTTATAAAAACAGTCTTGCCCTGGCCGGTTGGGCTCAGTGGTTAAAGCGTCGGCCTGTGGTCCAGAGAGACCCGGGTTTGGTTCCTGCTAAGGATATGTACCTCGGTTGCGGTTTTTTTTTAAGTCCTCACATGAGGATATTTTTCCATTTATCTTCAGATAGAGTGTGAAGGAGGAAGGGAGGGGAAAAAGAAAAATATCTATGTGAGAGAGACACATGGATTGGTTGCCTCCCGCATAACCCTAGCGACCAGGGCCCGAACTGCAACTGAGGCATATGCCCTTGACCGGAGTTGAACCCAAGACTCTTTGATCCAAGAACCAACGCTCCAACTACTGAGCCAAACTGGCCAGGGCACATCTACCAAAGCATTTTTAAAAAATTATACATGCTATGCATAAAGTGATCAGGCACAAAATACATATTCTTTACTAAGTAGTGAACCTACCAAGACTAGGCCATATTAAGTACAGCATGAATGATTTGTTTAATACACAAGGCAGACCCTTCTAGAAATAGTTTACAGGACAATCTGCAATAATGCTTAGTCTTATTCACTCTCAATTAACATTGTTAAATCATAGTATGACATAACTTCAACAAATATGGAAAAACATAATTTTTACTATCTAATTTTAACCTGATTAACTCATGGTTTATAATGAAGTGTCTGTACTTTTGTGTAATCAACACATCATCTGCCATTGTAATAAGTGATGTCTCCAAAGACATGTCTAAAAAAAAAAAAAAAAAAAAGAAGTCATCCAATTCTAGCCAAGATTTTAAGATAGCCCAGCCAGTGTGGCTCAGTGGATTGAGTGTCTTCCAAAGGACTGAAAGGTCCTGGTTCGATTCCTGCTCAGGGCGCATGCCCGGGTTGCGGACTCAATTCCCCAGTAGGGGGCGTATAGGAGGCAGTCGATGGATGTTTCTCACACAGATGTTCCCCTCTCTCTCCCTTCCTCTCTCTAAATAATCAATAAAAACATATTTTTTAAAAAGATTTTAAGATAGCCACAAACATTTCACTAAATATTTCCCCATCAAAATCCTTTATTAAATCTTATGTAGAATGGGGACACAGATACAAAGGAATACTCCAGTTCCTTGCTATAATAAAGCACTAGCAGTATCAATAGCAACTTTAGGCTATATTCACTCAATATTCAAGAAAAGTTTATTAGGCATCTACTACATGTAAACCCTTAAATGGCAGATTGTACATTCTCCAGTGATAGAATCAATTTGATAGTTTTTCTGAAAGACACAGAACAGATCTTTAAGCAAGCAACTGTAAGTCTATTAATCTGTTCTCTTTAGTTTTTGAGAGGCTCCATTCTCAGAGAAACTTTGTCAACAACACGAAAAAAGTTGAGGAAGAAACCATTTTTCCTACAATAGCCTATTTTGAAATATACCTAAAATGCCTTTATATCCAACAGTTATTTCCAAGATATTTTTGACACATCTTTCTAGTTGCAATGTGGTTGCATGTTTTCTGCAAGTAAACTCACTCCCCCAACTTCACCCCCACCAGCACCTGCCATCCCCTGCCCCCTGGAAAACAGCAATTCATTGACTCCAATAATTATCCAAACACCTGTAGACAGGGCACCCACGAGTATAGAAACATGGCAATCATTATTATTATACATAATCGTTTCCAAAAAGGCAATATCAAGCAAATAATGTCCAATAGCAGACCCATATCTCAAGTCACAGTACTGAAAGGTTATTTAAAAGAAATATGACCAAACTACTTAGAGAGAGAGACCATTATGTACTTGGTGCTCAAGAGAAAGACACAGAAAAAGTAACCCTAACGAGACACAGTCACTTACAAGACAATAAAATCAGTCAAAAATAATGCCTGGAAATAACCCAGGCTGTTCAAGACCTTTGCATCCAATACAAGTGACTGAATGTGGCCCCTGTCTCACAGTTGGCTCAATGCCAACTGGGCAAAGGAGGATTTTTCTTTCCACACAAATGTAACCATTGGGTGGTCCATTTAAAGAAACACTTCCTAAAAGAGAATTCATTATTAATTGTTCATCCTAGAAAAAGCATCACACCATACTGTGTACTAAAGTGGAAAAAAAAATTACCTCTGCAGCCTAACAAGCTACAAACCTTAATTTCTTTTCTAGCTCTGAAACTTTATCAAGCTCCCCTCTTCACTTCCCTAGAGAAATTCTTATAAATAAGTAAACTCAAAAACATTATTTTTGTAAACTGGAAGTGTTTTTAAAATCTAAACTTATAAAAACACAGAAAAATGTTTTAAACCAACCAAAATAAATATCTATTTATAATATGGTAAAGATTTTTAAGAGTATTACCTTGTGACACATTCTTAAATAAGGGGTTTGGTTCAACATAACAGTTAACTGGCTTTTCCTTTCAGAAAAGGAAAATTGTAGTCTGTAACTATGTGCCATCTACCTAGAAACATGACTGCATTTACCATCATCTTCATGCAAAACAGACCAGGGCCAAGACCCAGTTTCTAAGAAACAAGCCTTGCTGCTAAGTAGCAACCAACAATGTTAAATCAGACCAAACTTCTGAGTTGTGGCTTTTAGTTTTACTCCCAACTCAGATAGCAATTACACGTCCAACTCTTGGCAAGCCACAGCCCAGTGCCTCAGTTTCCCCAAGTCACTTTGTAACAGGATATTTCACAAAGGCTCAGCCCTAGCAACCTGAGAGCTAAAACCCTGAAGGAATCCTAAGACTTGGTAAGTTATTCAGTTCTTTGAAAAGGAAAGCATTATACAATTTCAACATGACGAGTGTAAATCCATTCATTGAGCTTTGTGCAACTTTTCTAATTTCCTTATGCTTCAATTTCCTCATTCCAAAGAAAACTGGATTAATTTGTCCACTAACTGCCACCTCAAAGATATGATATGATGATGTGTTTTCAGTTCTTAGAGAGAAAGTGTTAAAAAACACAAGCAGTGTCAATGCATGCAGTGTATTTTGCAGATAAAAAACTATAAAATCCTGCCCGGTAGGTGTGGCTGAGCGTAGATCCATGCACCAAGAGGTCGCCAGTTCAATTCCTGATCAGAGCACATGCCAGAGGTGTGGGCCTGATCCCTAGTGCGGGACATGCAGGAGGCAGCCAATCGCTGTTCTCTCTCACGGATGTCTCTCTCTCCTTCTCCCTTCCTCTTTCTCTAAAATCAATAAAGAAAACAAAAAAACACCTGTAAAATCCTAGGAACACTCATAAAATATTTTTGGTCACAAGTGGCCAGTGGTGAATGGAACTTGAATCCTAACTCTATCTCACAACAGAAAATAAAGTTGAATTAGTTACACAGGTTTGAAGAAAAACAAATTTAACATAAACAATCTGAGAAATCAAAGGCAAACTACAAAAGTTTCTATAACTGAGACGCTTTTTGACCAAGTAATGTTAATAACAACTTCAGTAGTCAATTTTCACTTCCCTCCATTTAAAGTATATGGCAGTGATGGTTAGAGGGTTTTATATTCTTGTCAACATTTTCCCTGCATTTAATTACTTACTAATTAAGTCTCAAGAGTAAAAAGAAATTCAAATGATATAAAATCTCTTCTGTTTCCCTAATATTTACAGCCAGAAGTAAAAATCATTTTTCCCACGAATCAATGAAAAATTTTTAAATATTATGAATTATGAACAGGCCTGAAATTATAGAGCCAAATTATGTGTACCTTAAACAGAGGTGCTCCAGGAACAATGTTGTGGTTCAGGTCTGAGGGGTTATGTGGTTAAGAAAATTCCTGGAAAATAAGAAATAATAATTTACTAGAGATCTTTTTCTGAAAATGAAGATATATTGCTAAAGTTCAGGGGAAACCTAAAATTTACAAGAAGGGAAGTTTCCAAAAACACAATGTCCTGGCTTGAAGCAGCCCACTCTAGAGTCTACAAAAGGCATGTCTATCGACACATGAACATAAAAGACAGTCTCAATTACTTCCTGATAAGAGAAAGAACTGGAGCCCTGGCCAGTCTGGCTTAGCAGTTAGAGTGTTGGCCCTCAGAACAAAGTGTCATGGGTTTGATTCTGTTCAAGGGCACATACCTCAGTTGCGGTTCGGTCCCCAGCCCTGGTTGGGGTCTTGCGGGAGGCAACCAGTCGATGTGTCTCTCTCACATTGATGTTTCTCTCTCTCCACCCCCCTTCATTCCTCCCTTCCACTCTATCTGAAGATAAATGGAAAAATATCCTTGGGTGAGAATTTAAAAATAATAGTAACTAAAAAAAAAAAGGACCCCGCACTGGCCAGTTTGGCTCAGCAGTTGAGCATCAGCCTGTGGACCAAAGAGTCTGGGGTTCAGTTCCCGCTAGGGGCATGTACCACACACACACAAAAAAAGGACCTGGTCACAAAAACCTGATTTTTAAACTTTTAACTACTGGCTAAATATTTTATCCTTACCATGTGCTTTGTAATGTAAATACAATTAACACAGGGAATTTTTACAAAATGGCACTTTGCACACAAATATTCTTACATTATATTGCAAAATACAAAAAAGCACATTACCTCTAGTAAATCCAAATCATAATCCTTCATTATTTTTTTTGCTAATCTTTACCCGAGGATACTTTGTTCATTGATATTTAGAGAGAGTGGACGGGAGGGAGGGAGGGGGAGGGGGAGAGGGAGAGGGAGGGATGGGGAGAGAGAGAGACAGAGACAGAGACAGAGACATTGATGTGAGAAAGACATGTGCCCTGACGGGACGGAGATCGAAACTGGGACCCTTTGGTGCATGGGTTGATGCTCTAACCACTGAAAAACACCAGTCATGGCCATAATCCTTCTTTAGAACAGGATTTCAAGTGACATAAGAGTTGAATTCTCAAACTCTCAGGTCTGCTCTATCTAGAGGTTTCCCAACTTTATAAATGGTAGTAGTCAGAAACAAATAGAATTCCTTACCTTGAGATGCTTTTTGCATTTTTACAACATAATTTTGCTCATTTCAATTTCTCACTGCTACTGTCTTAATAAACAATAAAAAGTAGCTGTTTACTTATCCAAATAATTTTAGAAATAAAATCAAGTGCTTTAATTTGCTTACAGTATTTTAACAACTCAAGCTATTCTTTTGGTCAATGTTTTACTATACTAACAACTTTCCAATCTGTAACCCTTTGGTTCCATAATCTTACCCATTCAAAAGACTAGCATGAATGGAAATTGAGCAGCCCAAACAGATGTCTAAGACCATCCACCTAATAGAATCTATACCTTTTACCAATGGGGCTTTCCTCAATTCAAACCCATCTATGGCAGATTCAGGTATCTAGGTTTCTAACCCAAAACAGAAGTAAAATAATTAGATTGAAAGAAAAAGGAGCTGCTAAAGTCAGACATAAAGAAAATAGTAAGAAACAACCACTGCCCTGGCCGGTTTGGCTCAGCAGTTAGAGCGTCGGCCTGCGGTCCAGAGAGACCCGGGTTCGGTTCCCACTAAGGGCATGTACCTCGGTTGCAGTTTGTCCCTGGCCCCGGTTGGGTCGTGCGGGTGGCAACCACTTGGTGTGTCCCTTTCTCATCGATATTTTTTTCTCTCTCTCTCCTCCTCCCACTCTATCTGAACGAAAAATGGAAAAATTTCCTTGGGTGAGGATTAAAAAAAAAAGAAACCACCACCACCAACTCAAGCAAAGTAAAAAGCTGGAGTGGGAGAAATATAGCAGTCTGCAACCATTTGGATTTCAAACATCTTTATACAACACAAGTGATAACTGAGACTCACTACAGATTCACACTTCCATAAGTAAACATTTTTAAAAATCCTCTGACCATTTTCAAATGATAATCCAAAGCCATCATGACTACTACCAATATATGTATATAGCACTTACTCCAAACAGCAGCAGAGAAGAAAGAATGTGGGTTAAACTCAAATCCCTTTCTTTCCCACTCAAGAAAGCATACTAGAATCCAAGAGAGTGAATTAAATTCATTGCTTTACTCATTCAATAAAAGTTTATTGAACACCTACTATTTGCAGGCCCTATTCTAGACATTGCAGGGAGAGGAGCATACAAATATACAGCCTCTATCCCCCTGGATCACATTTGTAAAGGAATTATCTTGAACCCAATACAAATTTAAATAATCCACAATGGCATTTTAATTAGCAATAACAAATCATTTATAATACACATCACCTCATAAGACACAGGAGAATGTGAAAGATCTCTTGGCTATAAAATGTTGATTTAGGGTAAGGGAAAACCAGCTAGCACATGGCTCTTTGGGTATCATGGAGGAAGCTCTTGACTGGGGGTCTAAGTTTGGGTACCAACTCTGGTGCTCAGGTGAATAACCCTGACCAAGTTACTCCTGCAGGCCTCAAACTTTTACTGTATTAAATGAGGTTACCTCCATCAACTGCATGATTAATAAAACAATAATCATATGAATCTTGAGTGAATGACTGGTAACGTAATTAAAATGTTTATGAACGATGACATGCCATACCAAAGTTAGCTATTAAACATCACTTCCTTAGGGTATACAGTAACTGATATTATAAAATATTAATTAATCATATTCAAAACACACTATTTAAGAAAGAAAAAAATGCAGCAAACTTAAAAAGAACCTCATACCTCCAAAAATAATATTTAGCCCTGTCCGGTTTGGCTTAGAGGTTAAAGCGTCGGCCTGCGGTCCAGAGAGACCTGGGTTCGGTTCCCGATAAGGGCACGTACCTTGGTTGCAATTTGGCCCCGGCCCTGGTTGGGGTCTTGCAGGAGGCAGCCACTCGATGTGTCCCTTTCACATCAATGTTTCTCCCTCCCACTCTATCTGAACAAAAAATGGAAAAATGTCCTCGGCTGAGGATTAAAAAATATATATATTTACTTTATTCTTTTATTTTTGGTGCTTAAATTGATCAATCCTAAATTAACAGGGAAATTAGCACCTAAAGGTAGTCATCCTATAAAGGTGCACTCTTCTACAAACCATAAGGAAAACTTATTTACCTAATTATATTCGACTATCATCTAGGTAAAGGGTCACGGGGCCTTAATGAACAGGTTGGTAAATTGTTTAACAAAGAACATAAGTCTCCAAGCATAATCAGACTAATCATTACATATAAATGATCTTTCTGACAGAGGAAAGGACTGCCTAGCATTTTGGACAAAATCACAATGGCGTCAATAGACAATGGCCCTATTTCTATCAGAGTGGAATCTACAAAGGTAGAAAATTCATACTTTAGTTAATTTTAATCTATAGAAAGCATGAACTTCAAAAATGCAAAGAAGTGAGAGAATCACACAAAATCTGATTAGATCATAAAGCTCATGCCTGAGGGAAGTCTATATAGTTACAATTTAAGAAGTATTATCTGCCCTGGCCAGTTTGGCTCAGTGGTTAGAGCATCGGCCCATGAACCAGAGAGTCCCGGGTTTGGTTCCTGCTAAGGGCACGTGCCTCAGTTGCAGTTCGTCCCCAGCCCCGGTTGGGGTCCTGTGGGTGGCAGCCAGTCGATGTTTCTCTCTCTTTCTTCCTCCCTCGCTCCCTCCCGCTCTATCTGAGGATGAATGCAAAAATGTCCTCAGGTGAGGATTAAAAAAAAAGTATTATCTACTCACTTCATCCCCAGAAAAGACACATTTCCAACACATTTTCATGATTAATGAGTCACACGAATGTCATCACAGACTACACAGTTGCCTGAGTTAAGGTTAAACACAGAATGGAAATTCATATACCATCTCACTAAAACCCCAATCCAAAGGCAGATTTAATTTCATTGATCTAGCCTTTTAAAGCTAGCCATAAGAGATGACTACTGCCTGGGTGGACAACCAAAGAGGCTTCTTATTCAGAAGACAACTGATTCAAATAAATTAAAAAAGAAATTGTTCAGGAGACAGTTCAACACCAAACGGAATGTTACACTAAATATTCCTAATATCATCAAAAAGGAAATGGATGTTAGCAATGGCTGAGGGCAAAGAGAGCAAAAATCTTATAAAGTTAACTAGAAGTTCAGTTAACTCACTTCCACTTAAGCAGAATGTTATAATTCTAAAGAAACTAATTTTCTTGGCAACAACCTTGTGTATAGTTAATAAATCATTTTTTAACACACTTCATGAAGGAGTATAGCAATAATTTAGGGGAGAGTCTCCTTCAGCACAAAGGTTACTGAACACCCCCCCCCCCCGTTTACTTCCAAGTACCCCCTCAAACGTTTGAATCAGTTTATAAGTTTTAGTTTAATTTGACTGCGGCAATCTATCACAACAAACAAAAGTAAAATAAACCTTCAAATTACTTCTAGGGAATGACAAATAGGTTTCATTTTAAAAACTGAGTATTACTAAACCAGATTTTTCCCCCCAAAATTGGTCTAAAGTCCATGTGAACAAAAGTGTTTAAACACTTTCTCTCTAAATATGCTCAGGTGCTTTTTGTTTAGGATAATTTATTCCCCCACTCGTCCACCCACCGAAGCTAGGATGGATTTTGTTCACATGGACAACATCTGTAACAAAAATAAATTAATAAAAAATAAAAATGTCCTTGGGTGAGGATTAAAAAAAAAAAAATCAACGCAGCTATATATTATAATCCTATTTTCTCCTTAGTAGGTGAGAGCACAGGGTCCGGTCATCATTATTCAAGTTTTGTAATAATTTATTGATAAACACACCTTGGTGCAAAAAAATCATGAAACAATTTCCTTTAAAAAGCAGAGTTCCAGAATTAAAGCAAAATTGGAAACATATCAACAAATCTTTTAAAGATCTAGGAATACCTTATAGAGCTGTCTCAATTTAAAACTGACTGTGATAGATATGCATGCTGAAGTATTTAATGCACTGATGTAATTTACTTTAAAATGTATCAAAAATAAAATGGATTAATGAATTAAAAGAGATACAACACAGAGCAGACGTGATAAAGCAAGAGTAGTAAAATGTGAACAGCAGAGGGTAGGTAGGTGATAGATATAGAGGTGACATTAAAATTCATCCAACTTTGTTATACAGTTAAAATTTTTCATAATAAAATATTCAGTAAAAATAACCACAGCAACCATGTCTTCTCGTAGTTCAATCTCTAACTTGTAAATTATATTTTTGGGGACAGCATAAATGCTATAGTCTTAATTTCGATAGTTTTATTTAAGGAAAAGCTCAAGTAGAAAATTGCACCAGAAGCATATTAACCACAAAGGTTTCCATTACAAGTTAATTTAAAACAGCCTGTCATTGGTCTAGTATAAAATAAAATCTGTCATAAAATTCTCTAAAAACTTCTAAAGGCTCCAAAATCCCATTCTGAAAGAAAGCAATGCCAAAAGTTTTTATTTGAGGGGAGGAGTTTACATTTCCCCAAATTGAGCAATTTTGTGTCACTAAGTTGGACATCAAATAAGATGATCCAGTCTGGAGGATCAAAAAAAAAAAAAGGCCCTATGACATCCCACAAAAAGACACCCTTTTCATGAAAGTTTCATCTTTATAATGGTAAATTTCACTCTCACTTCATCCAGTAAAAGGGCATCAGAGAAAGTTGCCCTGAGAGCTGAGACCCACTCCATGCCTCCTATGTTAAATATTTCTTCATTGTTTTATGGGGGAGAGACTCTGGATGAGACAGCAGCACAAGATAGTCTCATGTTTAATGATTACACCCAGAATAATGTTAATGGTTGGACTTCAGAATTGGAGGAGGGGAGGTAATTCTATGAGTCATGCACATTTTAAAACTTAAGGTAATCTGTATATAAATAAGTTTTCTGGCTCAATTTTATAAGAGTGCAACTTGGGGTGGGAGCAGGGAGGAGGGGGTCAATGGGGCTAAGTTGCAGTTTGTCCCTGGCCCAGGTTGGGGTTGTGTGGGTGGCAGCCACTCGATGTGTCTCTCTCACATTGATCTTTCTCTCTCTCTTTCTCCCTCTCTCTCTCCCACTCTATCTGAAGATAAACACAAAAATGTCTTCAGGTGAACATTAAAAAAAGAAAAATTAGGTTATCTACTGCAATATTAAAACATCACTTCCCAAATATTACAATTTTCGATTATGGCAGAAGACATACTATGTCTTCTATTGCTTGTATAGTTGTTTGCTTGAGTGTTTTTAAAGAGTCAACCAAAGATTTTAAACTAGAAATGATGATAAGACTGTGTCAGAAAATTCTACGAAAATATCAAAAATAGAGAGACCACTTTGCATCATGTGTGTTACTGAGATGGGTATTAAATCGAAACAGTAAGTTCAGTAAGAAATTTTACCTAAAATAATCCAAAGTACAGGATAATCGTTATATAGAACAAACACACACTTCGTAGTATTTTGTAAATTTGAACCTCCACAAATTGCCTTTCGTTAATGAAGGGTACACCTAAACAACTAAGTACAGAATTAAGAGACTCAGTATTTCTCAAAGTTTCTGTATTATAAATCCCACCTGTCACCAGGACGACTGAAACTGCTTCCTCTACAATCCAGCTGTATTTTTAGTTTTTACTTCAACAAGCAGCAATGTAATTTACGTTTGGTACGCACACCAATTCTTGAAAGCCCCAAATCAACCAGAAAATCTGGTTTAACTCTTTCCATCACCCTCTAAATAATTAAAACCACAAGCAGAAGGGAAGAGTGACCTTAAAAACGTCCCCACAGCCAGAGAACAGGGGCAGAACAGACTGAAGCACACATCTTCGCCGGAACAGAAGAAAACTTCCACATAAGCAATACTGCGACACGGAGGTGGGGCAAGGGCTTAAAAGGAAAGTCGGCCAACAAGAACGGGCGGGGGGAGGGGGGGCACAGCTGCAGCGAAACATAAGTTAGAAGTTAGAGATGTAGCGCAAGAAAGGACAGATATTTTCCAGCTTCGGACACCCCCCTCAAGAGCCTGACACGCAGCAAGTGCTCCAAAAAGGTTTTCTGAACTCAAGGAAAGCATCTGCCAGCAACTTTCCCAGGAATGGAATGACAACAAGAAGCCGGATGATGGCAGGAAAACAGGGAGCTGGTGAAAATCTTGCAATTGGCTCAGCCGAGGAGATGGGAATAACAGCATCTTTTTACAGACTGCCTCCTGACAGCGTCCCAATTAAACGTACACACCCCAAAATAATAAATCGGTGCTCAAGTGGGCACGCTGAACATTTCTGCCCCTAAGGAAACCCAAACGGGGAGGTAGGTCATCTTCTGTCCACTCTACCCACTAAGTTATAACTTAATATCACGCTAATAAATTATGCAGGCGGTTTGTTGGGACACGCTGTGGGTCTGGCACTCCGATAAGCGCTTTACACGCCCCAATTCACTGAACCTTAACAGCCTTAAGAGGCAGAGACGGCATTAGCCCCTTTTTCCAACCAAGCCACAAAGAGTTTAAGTGACTTGCCTAAAAGGGCACAGCTGGGATCTGTACCCGCGTCGGACACCTGGGCGGTGCTCCTAAATTAGTACGCTACAGACGGACTGGGGAAATTTAGGTGCCCCGGACCTCAACGACTTGGAGCGGGACCCCGCGCCCCCGCCCCGGGAACAGCGTCGGCGTCCCCGCGCGCGAGGAGGAATGAGGAAAGGCGGCGTGGCACCTGTTTCTGGCCCCAACAAGGGGCGGAGGAACGGGGAGCGATGGGACCAGGAGCGACCAGGGTCCAGGCCGCGGGGCGCCCCGATGCGGGGGGCGCAGGAGGATCCTCCTCCTCCGGGAGGGCCACGCGGGCTGGGGGGAGGCCCGGGAAAGGAGGCCGGGCGCGCGGTCCCGCCTAGGCCTAGGCCCCCGCCCGCCGCCCGCCGCCCGGCGCCCGCGGCGCCCGCGCGGGCTCCGTCAGGCCCGACTCGGCCGCCTCACCTGGCTGCTGCGCGGAGCTCGTCCCCCGACCGGCGGTCCTGGGCGGCGGCGGCGAGAAGGGGAAGAAGGAAGAAGAGAAAGAAGGAAGGGACGGCAGGAGGAAAGAGGCGGAGTGGCCGCAGAGGAGGCGGGCGCCGCCGGGCCGGGGGTCAGAGGAAGGGGGAGCCGAACCTGACGCGGCCGCCGCGGGTGCAAACGCTGAGGAGCCGCTCCGGCGCCCGCAGCCCGGCAGGAAGTGACGGGGGAGGGGCCTGTGCCCGCCCCCGGCCCCTGCCCGCCTCCCTGCCAGCCCCACCTCCCCGCCCGCGGTCCGGACCACAAGTTCCGGCGGGCACTGCGGCAGCGCGGGCGCTCGCAAGGCACGCCGGGAGCCTAGCGGGCTGGGGCCTGGTACAGTTTGAGGCTCCTAGTCCCGCCCTGGGCGCTGGGGCCTGCTGGGAGTTGTAGTTCCGCTGGGAGATGGCTCTGGGCCGCCCTCGAGAAGCGGGACTGGGCCTTTCTTCTCCCTTCACCCGCGTTCGTTCTTCCGGTTTTCCTCTCCATCCTTCTCCCTTCCCGGTTCCTCCTTTTTCTCCTTCCCTCAATTCCTCCTTCTGTAAATGTCTGCTAAATGCCTGCTGTGTGCAAAGAGCTGAGGCTATGGTGGTAAAAAGAGAGACAAAAATCCCTGCCCTCATGGAGCTTACGTCCTAGTGAAAGTAAAACACAAAAATAAAATCAGTACCTTGTATAGTGAGTTAAAAGGCAGTAAGTGCCAGATTACTGTTCCTCTCACCTAGCTCTAAATAAACTAAGTGTATTTTAGCAACCATTTTATATGGCAGGTTAGGTTTGAGGGAGGGACTCTCGGACCCCTAGAACCACACAGCAAAGCCCACAGGGGAACCCAGTGAAGGAGCCGGATGCCCAGGCCTCCTCACCTGCTTCCTCACTATTTAAAAAGTTTATTTTTTCTCTTTTTATTTATTTATTATTATTATTTTTTAATCCTCCCCGAGGATATTTTTGCATTTATGTTCAGGCAGAGTCGGGGGGAGAGAAACACCGATGTGAGAGAGACACATTGATTGGTTGCCTCCTGCACACCCCACCTGGGGCGGGGGACTAACCACAACCGAAGTACATGCCCTTGGTGGCCATCGAACCCAGGACTGTATGGTCTGCAGGCCCACACGCTAACCGCTGAACCAAGCCAGCCAGGGCTCGCTGCCTCTCTCTCAATCCAGCTATTGCTCCATCTTTCTTTCTAGGCAATATAGTTTAATTCGTATACGTTGGTAATATGAGGTGTTGTAACAGAGGGGCCTCTCGAAACAGTGCTCTGGGACTTTGCCCCAGCCACAGAGGGCTCCTCTCTGTGGACCAGGACTCTTGTAAATTGAATGAAACTGAATCTCAGGACACCAGTTATAGTCAAAGGACTTGAATATCCATCCATGACGGTACTGAACAACATTCAGGTGTCGTCCAGCCCTCTGCTAAAGACGAATTATTTTTCTTTCTAACTTCCAAGCATTCTGATCCCACAGCTCACCTGAGTAAAGGAGCAGACATGGAGGTGTTTCCCTAAACACAAAGCTGGGGTCCCTGCACAATCATACAATCTCTTCAAAGGTGTAAAGGTAGAAGCTTGTGTTCTGACCCATTTTCCTGTCACCCATGAGGACTCAGGTGATGGGCCTTTGACTTCCAATCTTAACTTTCTTCCCTTATTCCATACATTGAAGGGGGAGATTCCTCTTTTTTTTTTCTTTAAATCCAAACTTTGGATTTTATTCTATGAATAAAATTGGACCTGTTTCCTCCTTAGATAAATGATCAGAACAACAATTTACTATCTTACACAGAGATCATAAGAATTAAGAGCTTGATACCCTGTCTCATCTTCCCCATCTGAAGACTGAAGGTCCCACTGGCTGGACGTTCCCCACCCCTGAAGGAATACAAAAGTAGTAACCAGGCAAAAGTGATGTGGGAAGTGTTTTAAGTAGTCCAAGCAGGGTGGAAAGCATGTACAAAACCTTGTGCCAGGACAGCATGTGGCCCAGGCTCCGGTTACCATTGCTATAAAACAAATCACTCCCAAATTTAGTGTTCTCCCTCCCCCCAATCACTAATCTTCTTTCTATCTCCATAGTTTTGCCTTTTTCAAAATGTTATATACATAATTGAAATGGGCCAGTATAGTCTTTTCGGACTGGCTTCTTTCACTTAGTAATATGCATTTAAGATTCCTCCACGTCTTTTCAATTCTTTTTTTTTTTTTGGTTCGTGCCCCTAGTGGGAACTGAACCCAGGACTCTTTTCATGGCTTGATAGCTCATTTCTTTTATTTATTTTTTTATTTTTATTTTTTCCTTTATTCATTTTAGAGATAGAGGAAGAGCCACACCAGCCCAACTTTTCTTATTTTTAATAGATATATTAAATAACAAGTATAATTTTTAGATAATAATCAACTTCTCACAGGGTTTTTATGAGCTTTGCATGTTCCCATTCCTTGTTACAAATACACATAATTTATCTTCTGGGAAAGAACACACAGAATTTAGTGTAACTTACTTAATAGTCAGTTTCTTACTTCCATCTTCTTCCTAAGGAAAAATAAGTAGTACTTCTGCCCTAGCTGATATGGCTCAGCAGTTAGAGTGTTGGCCCCAGGACCAAAGGATCTCAGGTTCCATTCTGGTCAATGGCACGTACTTCCGTTGCAGTTCAATTTCGGAGCCTGGTCTGGGTCCTGCAGGAGGTGACTAGTCAATGTGTCTCTCTCACATTCATGTTTCTCTCTCTTTCTCTCTCTCTCTCTCCTCACTCCCTACTCCAGCTGAAGATCAATGGGAAAATATCCTCACGAGAGGATTAAAAAAAAGAAAGAAAAAAAAACACTTCTTTTATTATTTGGCTAGGGTCAAAAAGTCTTCATGCCTTTGGAAAAAACTATGATTCGTAGTCTCTAGGTACAAATAGATAAAAACAAATCTATGTGATCCACTCCTAAACCCAGCCAGCCCCATGGCTAACCTATGCCTCTAATTACTATTCCTTGGTTATATAAAATGAAAGTTCAGAGTCATTTTCAAAAACAAGGACTATTAAATCTTCAGATTGCTGTTTTTCTTTTCTCTCTTTCTTTTGTTTTTAGTTTTAATCAGTTGCTGTAACTCTAACATATAATAATCTAGATTTGTATCATCTCTTTAAAAATGAGGCAAATTTGGTCAGGCTGGTGTGGCTCAGTGGTTGAGTGTCGATCCATGCGCCAAGAGGCTGCTGGTTCAATTCCCAGTAAGAACACATGCCTAGGTTGTGGGCGCGACCCCCAGTGGGGGGCATGCAGGAGGTGGCCAATTGCTGTTTTCGCTCATCGATGTTTCTTTCTTTTTTTTATCCTCACCCGAGGACATTTTTTCATTTTTTGTTCAGATAGACTGGGGGGGAGAGAGAGGGAGAGAGGAAGAGAGAGAGAGAAACATCGACGTGAAAGGGACACATCGAGTGGCTACCACCCACATGACCAACCAGGGCCGGGGACAAACTGCGACCGAGATACGTGCCCTTAGTGGGAACCGAACCCGGGTCTCTCGGGACCACAGGCCGACGCTCTAACCGCTGAGGCAAACCGGCCAGGGCTCATCGATGTTTCTCTCTCTCTCCCTCTCACTTCCTCTCTCTCTAAAATCAATAAAGGAAAAAAAAATTTTTTTTTTTTTTCCATCCTCACCCAAGGACATTTTTCCATTTTTTGTTCAGGTAGAGTGGGGGGGAGAGAGAGGAACAGAGAGAGAGAGAAACATCGATGTGAAAGGGACACATCGAGTGGCTGCCACCTGCACGACCAACCAGGGCCGGGGACAAACTGCAACCGAGGTACGTGCCCTTAGCGGGAACCGAACCCGGGTCTCTCAGGACCGCAGGCCGACGCTCTAACCACTGAGCCAAACCGGCCAGGGCGGAAAAAAAATTTTTAATAAAAAAAAATGAGGCAAATTTGGCTGCACAGAGCCTGTGAGTAGCAGTTGCTCCCTGAAGATAGACATTCTTTTTTTATCCTCACCTGAGGACATTTTTCCATTTTTTTTTTTTTTTTTATCCTCACCCGAGGATATTTTTCCATTTTTTGTACAGATGGAGTGGGAGGGAGAGAGAGGAAGGGAGAGAGAGAGAGAAACATCGACATGAAGGGACACATCGAGTGGCTGCCACCCGCACGACCAACCAGGGCCGGGGACAAACTGCAACCGAAGTACGTGCCCTTAGCGGGAACCGAACCCGGGTCTCTCCGGACCGCAGGCCGACGCTCTAACCGCTGAGCCAAACCGGCCAGGGCCATTTTTCCATTTTTTATTCAGATAGAGTGGGAAGGAGAGAGAGGGAGAACGAGAGAAAGAAACATCAACATGAAAGGGACACATCGAGTGGCTGCCACCCGCACAACCCAACCAGAGCCAGGGACAAACTACAGCTGAGGCACGTGCCCTTAGCAGGAACCGAACCCAGGTCTCTCTAGACCACAGGCCGATGCTCTAACCTCTGAGCCAAACTGTCTAGGGCAGACATGTTCTTTTCATTTCACCACAGTCCCCAACCTGCCCTCGTCTTATGTTACTTGCCTGTTTGCGTTGACATTGATGTTTGCAATGCCTGGCCCACTGTGTAACTGCACGGGCTGGAGGTTGGTCTATGAAGCTGAAAACTCATCAGAAAGATAAACACTCTCCAAATGTAAATATAATAAATACAGGAAGGAAAGGTACATGGTATTATGGGGTTCTTTATTAGCATCCTGAAGCACTATAGTAGTGCAGGGGTAAGGAAACTTTTTTTTCTGCCAAGGGCCATTTGGATATTTATAACATCATTCACGGGCCATACAAAATTATCAGCTTAAAAATTAGCCTGCTATTTGGTCAGGTTAATTTGGTGAGGCGTGTGACGTGACGTTAGCTGGTATTGATTTCAAGGGCCTTATACAGCCCATGGGCTGGACGTTCCCCACCTCTGAAAGAATACAAAAGTGGTAACCAGGCAAAAGTGATGTGGGAAGTGTTCTAAGTAGTCCAAGCAGGGTGGAAAGCATGTACAAAACCTTGTGCCAGGACAGTATGTGGCCCAGGCTCCGGTTACCATTGCTATGAAATAAATCACTCCCAAATTTAGTGCCTTAAAAGATCAGCAATCATTTAATTCTCTCATAGATGTGGGTCAGGAATTCAGAGTTTGGCTTGGTTCTTCTAACTTGTCGTCTTTAATGCAGAGCTGGACCACTGGGAGATAGAGCACCTAGGAGCGGACTGGTTGCCTTTGGGCCTATCCATGTGGCCTCTGCATGGGCTTCTGTGAGCTTCCTCACAGCATGGCAGCCTCAGGGCCCTCTAGTTGTTAATCAGAATAGTTAAATACTTAAGCTGCAGTGGAATGGCAGCTGAAGGCTTCAAGAGTGAGTATCCCAAAGAGCAAGGCAGAGCTGCATTGCATTGCCTTATCTGACACAGTCTTGAGGTCACATAGAGCCATGTCAACTGTTGTTTATTGGCTTCAAGCAAGACACACGCCATCCAGATCCAAGGGTAGGGGGATTAGACTATCTCCTGATGGGGAAGTGGAAATGGCAGGTCTAGAGCTCAGAGGAAATGCAGGGCTGGAGACACAACATGTGAATATCATTTGGGAGGAAATTGAAGCCTTGGGTGTGGCTATTAGTGGATGTTAACACCTGACAAATTATTTCTGTTCCACTCTCATAGCCCCTTAACATATCTTTGCAACCTTATAATTATTCAGTTATTTGCTGAGTTTGCTCTGTTTGGCTAGGACTATGTGATCAACTTCCATGAGTGCAGGCACTCAGACTATCAGTCACTATGGTGTCTCTGGCTCCTAATACGGTGCCTGGTACACATAAACATCCATTAACTCTTGATAAATCACAGCCTTTCTTGTCTTTGCAGGAGTCCCTAAAAATCAAGGAATACCTGTTGAATTGATTGGTGTATGTCAAGATCACCTATACTATTGTGTGTTGCAAGGGAAAACAAAGTTGAGCACTACTTGCTAGTCTAGATGAGTAATCCTCAAGATTATTTGAGGTAGACTGCTCCCCTAAAGCTATTTCAGAATCTCAGGGTGACAGGAGTTAGAGGATGTAATGAATAAAAAAAGATATAACGGAAAAGCCCATTTATAAAGCAATTTAAAAAATTCCTAGCAATAAACTTTACAGTAACGATGTGCAATCTATGTGAAGGAAAAACTATAATTCTACAGAAGGACAGAAAAAGATTAGAAGAAATAGAAACATAAGCTATGTTTTTGCTTAGCAAAACTCTGCACCATTAAGATAGATGTTTGATGTGATCCCAATAAAAACACAAAGAGGATTTTGTTTGGAATTAGATGAATCATGTCTAAAATTCTTATGAAAAAATTAACAAGAAAATATTTCTGAAAATGCCAGACCAAGTAGTAAATATACTATAAAAACTTACTAATTAAAACTGTTAGGCACTAGTGCCTAATTCCACAAATTAGTGGAAGACAAGAGAAATTCCCAAATAGACCAAAACACATGTAGGCATTTAGTATTCAATAAAGATGGCATTTCAAATTGGTGAAAATAAGACAGATTTCAGTCAATAAATGGTTTGAGACAACTATGTAGCCTCTATGGAATAAAAAAACAAAGTTGCCCTGGCAGATTTTGCTCAGTGGTTAGAGCATCAACCTGCAGACCAAAAGGCCAAGGATTCAATTCATGGTCAAGGGCACGTACCTGGGTTGCAGGTTCAATCCCAGCCCTGATCAGGGTCATGTGGGGTGCATCCAATTAATCTGTTTCTCTGACATCAATATTTCTCTCTCGTTCCCTCCCTCCCTCCCACTCTATCTAAAAAAAAAGGGGGGGGGAAATATACTCAGGTAAAGATTAACAACAATAACATCAAAAAACAAACAAAAACAAAGTTAAAGCTATACTTCATATCTTATACCTGGAAAAATGACAATTGGACCAAAGAATGTATATGCATGTATGCACAACCAATGGACACAGACATTAGGTTGGGCAAAGCAGAAGGGTGGTGTGAGTGAGGAGGAGGGGATCAATGGGGAAAAAAGGGAGATATGTGTAATACTTTCAACAATAAAAAAAATAAAAGTAGATGTAAACAGAAAGAAGGAAACCATAAAAAGATGGAAAGAATCTCTAATTCCTTATAACCCTGATGGAGAAGACCCTTTTAACTATATGTGGATTGCAACTAGTGGCCATTTGTAAACTGTTTATTACCTGCTCAGGACAATGTAAGTACAGAAATTGAGAATAAACTTTCAGAAATGTTTGTAGCAAAATGACATTGTCACGTATTATTGTATTTTAATGAAAGTACCAGTCTGCAATGGATTGGGAAAGTAAAACGCTAGTCTTTCACCACACATAGTTCACTTGCAGTACTGCTCCAAGGTCCTGGATGAGTTGGACATGGTCCTGTCCTCCAGAGCTCAGGTAAGGATGGAGGGAGCCAGAGTTGACATAAAGTCTATTTGCGTTGAGCAAACACTGACACACAGACTTGATGTACATCTGAAAAACACATGAAGATATTCACATTTATTCATATTTACTGAATGCCTATTACATACAAGTACTGTACTAAACACTAGGGATACAGCAGTGAACAAAATAGACAAGGCCCTCACCCTTTTGGATTTCACATCTAGTCAGACAGACTATAAAAAAGTTCACCAAATAGCCCAGGCGGTGTGAGCATTGGCCCATGGACTGAGAAGTCCCAGTTCGACTCCTGGTCAGGGCACATGCCCGGGTTTCGGACTTGATCCCTAGTAGGGGCGTGCAGGAGGCAGCTGATAGATGTTTCTCTCTTACACAAATGTTTCTCTCTCTCTCTCTCTCTCTTCCTCTCTTTCTAAAAAAATCAATAAAAACATAGTTTTTAAAAAGTTCATCAAATAAATATACTGATCTCAAAAAATGCTAAATGCTATAAGGAAATAAAGAGGAAGGGAATAGAGTGACTGCAAGATGGGCGCTGCTGGTTTATAAGTTGGTCAGAGAAGGGCTGTCCAAAGAGGTGACATTTGAGCTGAAATCCGTGGATGGGAAAGAGCCAGACATGACTTGAGTGGAGGGAACAGCGCTCTCAGTAGGGGGAAGTCAGTGCAAAGGTCTTCAGGTGAGAGAGAGATTGGCTTGTGTAACAGGAAGGCCATGCGGTCCGGAGAGACTCGGGTTCAATCCCCGCTAAGGGCATGTACCTCGGTTGCAGTTTGTCCCCGGCCCTGATTGGTCGTGCGGGTGGCAGCCACTCGATGTGTCCCTTTCACGTCGATGTTTCTCTCTCTTCCTCTCTCTCCCTCCTACTCTATCTGTGCAAAAGATGGAAAAATGTCCTCGGGTGAGGATAAAAAAAAAAAAAAAAATAACAGGAAGGCCAGTGTGGCAGGGGTGTAGGAAACAAGGTGGAGGGCAGCAGTAGAAGCTGTAGGAGTAAGGACGGACTAGATCAGGTTGCCCATACAAAAGAGTCAGGATTTGCCCTGGCCGGTTGCTCAGTGGTTAGAGCATCGGCCCACAGACCAATGAGTCTCGGGTTCGGTTCTGGTCAAGGGCACGTACCTCGGTTGCGATTCCTCCCCGGCCCTGGTTGGGGTTGTGCAGGAGGCAGCCGCTTGATGTGTCCCTTTCTCGTCAATGTTTCTCTCTCTCTCTCTCTCTCCCTCCCACTCTATCTGAACAAAAATGGAAAAATGTCTTCAGGTGAGGATAAAAAAACAAGAGTCAGGATTTATTCTAAGCGTATTTTAGTGTTTAAGTAGGGGACCAAGGCAATATGATTTGGGTTTTTAAAAGCTCTCTGTTGTGTGGAGAATGGATTGAAAGGAGGCAAGAGTAGAATCAGGGAGACTAGTGGGAGGCTGGTGCAGATGTCCAGTTGAGAGAAGATATGACTTGAACTAGGTGGTAGCTGCAGAGGCGAAGAGTAGTGGACAGAAGGTGAATCAGATCAGGCCTCTGCTGTCTATTGTTTGGATCAAGGGATTTTACTTGGGATGATTGAAGGGACTTCAGGAGGCTGATGAGGCCCCTGTAATTGTATAAAAAAATGTGTGTTTTTGTGCTTATGAGAGAGTTTTGTATTTATGAGAGTTATACCTTGCATTAGGATCTGTAGGTAAAGAAATAGTTGTCTAGGACAGTGATTTGCAACCGGTGTGCCACAGGAATTTTAAAAACATGCAGTACTGCCCTGGCCGGTTTGGCTCAGCGGTTAGAGCGTCAGCCCGCAGACCAGAGAGTCCTGAGTTTGGTTCCCACTAAGGGCACGTACCTCAGCTGCAGTTTGTCCCCAGCCCGGATGGGGTCCTGTGGGTGGCAACCAGCTGATGTGTCTCTCTCACGTCGATGTTTCTCTTTCTCTCTCTTCCTCTCTCTCTCCCTCCCATTCTATCTGATGATAAATGCAAAAAAAAACACACACAAAAAAACCCCAAAAACATGCAGTACCTGACTATTTAGTCAGGAGTACTGACCTCTTTTCCCTTAGATTGTCAAGTAAAAAAATGACAACAGCCAACACAACACTAGCTGTTTGGTGTGAATGCCTTCCTTGTCTTGAACCATAAATATATAGATCAAATAATAGAGTTGCATCTTATTGGTCACCTTGCATAATAAGGCTGTGTCTATTGGTTAATTCTAGGTACCAGAAATCCTTATATACAAATATAGACACCTGATTTGTTAAAAAAAATTTCACCTAAGGATATGTTTATTAATTTTAGAGAGAGAGAAAGGGAGAGAGAGAGAAATATCGATGTGAGAGAGAAACATCAACTGCCTCCCATACGTGCCCCAACCAATGATCAAGCCCACAACCTAGGTATGTGCCCTGACCAGGAATGGAGCTTGCATGTTTCATGTATGGGACAATGTTCCAAACAACTGAGCCACCCAGCCAGGGCTAGGCACCTGATTTTTTAAAAAGTCACTTTGGAGCTAAAAGCGTAGGTAATGCCCTGGCCAGTTTGGCTCAGCGGTTAGAGCATCGGCCCATGGACCAATGAGTCACAGGTTAGATTCTGGTCAGGGGCACGTAATTCGGTTGCAGTTCATCCCTGGCCCTGGTCGGGTCGTGGGGGAGGCAACCAGTTGATGTGGCTCTATCACATCAATGTTTCTTTCTGTCTCTCTCTCCCTTCCTCCCTCCCTCCCATTCTATCTGATAATAAGTAGAAAAATATCCTTAGGTGAGGAATTAAAAAAAAAAGGGTAAGTAATTACTATTATTATTATTTCTTGTAAATCAATAAAAATTATACCTATTTTTTGTTAGATAGGCAAAAAATGTGTTTTGGTGGGCTGCAGAATTTTAGTAATTAGTTTACGTGTACCGTTAGATGAAAAAGGTTGAAAATCGTTGGTCTAGGAAATAACACTCAATGAAGTGGCAGTAGGTGTTCTTTATTCACAAGACTCTGCATCTGAAACCAGTGGTATGAAACTTGCCACCATCACAACCACCATTAAAAGAGATGTGAGGCACCCGGCTGGTGTGGCTCAGTGGTTGAACGTTGTTGACCCATGCACCAAGAGGTCGCCAGTTCGATTCCCAGTCAGGGCACATGCCCAGGTTGTGGAGCAAATCCACAATGGGGGACATACAGGAGGTGGCCAATGGATGTTCTCTCTCATTGATGTTTCTATCTCTCTCTCCCTCTCCCTTTCTCTCTCTCTAAAATCAATAAAGAAAAAAATTAAAAAAAAAAAAAAGAGCCCTGGCTGGTTTGGCTCAGTGGTTAAAGTGTTGGCCTGTGGTCCGGAGAGGCCCGGGTTCAGTTCCCACTCAGGGCACGTACCTCGGTTGCAGTTTGTCCCTGGCCCTGGTTGGGTTGTGTGGGTGGCAACCACTCGATGTGTCCCTTTCACATCAATGTTCTCTCTCTCTCTCTCTCTCCCTCCCACTCTATCTGAACAAAATATCAAAAAATGTCCTCGGGTGAGGATAAAAAATAATAATAATAATAATATAAAATAAAATAAAATGCTACAAAGCAAAAAGTGAACATTGAAAACTCCTTTAAAAAAAAAAAAAAGAGATGAGGCTATACCTTTGATGGTGTAACCACTGAGCAGTGGTTACAGCATCAGCCCATGCACCGAAGACTCACAGGTTTGATTCCCAGTCAAGCACACACCTGGGTTGCAAGTTTGATCCCCAACACTAGTCAGGGTATGTGCAGGAGGCAACCAATTGATGTGTCTCCTTTTTTGGGGGGGGGGTATGTGTCCCTAGCGGGAACCAAACCCGGGACTCTGGTCCGCAGGCCAATGCTCCACCTGCTGAGCCAAACTGGCCATGGCTAATGTGTCTCCTTTTACATCATTGTTTATCTCTCTCTCTCTTCCTCCCTCCTCCCTTCCACTCTATCTAAAATCAATGGAAAAGATATCCTTGGGTGAGGATTAATCAAAAGAGAGAGAGAGAGAGATCTGAGGCTATAATAATAATAGTAAAAAACAAGTGTTGACAAGGATGTGGAGAAATTGGAACCTTCATAACTCACTAGTGGGAATGTAAAATGGTGCAACCACTGTGAAAAACACTTTCGTGGTTCCTCAAAAGGGTAAACATAGAATTTTAATATTCCCCAGCAATTTCACTCTTAGGTATATACCTAAAGGAATTGAAAAGATGAACTCAAGCCCTGCCAGTGTGGCTCACTTGGTTGAGCATAGTCCTATGCACCAAAAGGTCACTGGTTCTATTCCTTCGGGGCACATGTCCTGGTTGCTAGCTGAATCCCCAGTAGGGGACATGCAGGAGGCAACTGATTGACATTTCTCTCTTACATCTATGTTTCTCTCTCTCTCCCTCTCCTTTCCTCTCTCTAAAATCAATAAAAACTTTAAAAAAAAGAGGGACTCAAATATATCCTTGTATGTCAATGTTCATTGCAGCAGTATTCACAATAGCTAAAAAGTGGAAACAACTCAACTGTCTACCAACAGAAAAATGGAGAAACAAAATGTTCTACAACAAAACATTATTTAGCCATAATGAAGTTCTGATACATGCTTCCACATAGATTAAACTTGAAGGAAGTACGCAAAGTGAAATAAGGCAACTTACATGAAATATCTAGAACAGGCAAATTCATAGAGACAGTAAGTAGATGTGAACTTACCAAGGATTAGGGAGTGAGAATGGTCAGTTATTGCTTAATGGGTACAGAGTTTCTGTTTGAGCCCATGAAAAAGTTTTGGAAACATACAGTAGTGATGGTTGCGCAACACAGTGAATGTAATACATGCCACTGAATTGTACATTTTAAATGGTTAAAAAAAAGACAACTGAACATACATCGTGGTACAACTACAACACTTTTGCAAGAAGAAAGTGTTGCTATAGAAAGAGCAAACATCTATGAAAAAGGGGTGGGCAGACCAGGAGGGCTTCATATAGGAGGTGTTGTTTAGGGAAAGTTGTCTAGAGGAAGTAATCACAAGCTGCATTTAAGAGTAATATTTCCACAAGCAGAAAAGAGGAAAAGTTTTTGGTAAAACTGAGATCTGCTTTCCTAAGGGCAGTGGAGGCATTGCCTAGGTTATTACCTTGGCTCTGTTATTAACTGCTCTGTGCCTCAGTGTCCTAATCTGTAAAATGGCCATAGTAATCGTACCGTCTGCAAGGATTGTTGTGAGGATTAAAATAATTAATACACGTAAAAGAATTTAGCAGTACTTGACACACAGTAAACAATCTATAAGTGTTAGCTATTCTTATTTCTGTTTTATGAAAATGTTTATTGTGGCCCCACCAGTGTGGTTCACTGGTTGAGCGTCAACCCATGCACCAAGAGGTCACCAGTTCGATTCCTGGTCAGGGGACATGCAAGAGGCAGCCAATCAATGTTCTCTCATCAATGTTTCTCTCTCTCTCCCCTCCCCCCCCCCGACTCTATCTAAAGATAAATAGAAAAATATCCTCGGATGAGGATTAAAAAATAATAATAATAAAAAAATGAAAAAGTAAAAAATAATAATTAAAAAAAAAAAGAAAATGTTAATTGTGGATAAATCTAAGAAGAAAATAAAAATCACTTACAGTTCTACCACCCAGGGAAAATCATTGCTAACCGTTCATTATATTACCTTCCACAATTTTTGTACATAAATACATACAGAGCTTATCCACGTACCTCTTTACACTTTCTCGCCCCTCGCACCCTCTAACCGAAGTTCCCACTGCATTCTAAGTACCAAGACAATGGAAATTGACTAAGACAAAGCCCCGCCCCTTGTTTTTGTCCCTAGAAGCCACGCCCCGTATCGCCGCATGCGCACTCGAAGAATTCGGGGGCAGCGGCTCCTCAAAGGTTTCCTCAAAGCGGAAGTGATGTAAGCCGCGAGGCGGCGACGGTCGCGGAAAAGCCTGGGCCGGCGTCTGCGCAGTGCTGGTTTCCGGAAGTAGCCGCTGCGGCAGCATGCTTGAGGAGTTGGGTTTAATTGGGACCATCGGCGAAGATGACGAGGTGCCCGTGGAGCCCGAGTCTGACTCCGGAGACGAGGAGGAGGTATGAGCCAACCGGGGATGGGGGCGCAGCGGCGGGCACTCGTTTCCTTGACTAGCTTCCCTTCCCTGTGATTCCTCTGTCCCTGTCCCCCAGTTCTCAGCATCTCCCCTAGAGGAGTCTCACCCGACCCCAAGATCTTCCTCCGTTTGCTCGCCACTAGCTTTTCCTCACCGCCGCACTGTGCCCGTGTCGCCTTGGGGAACTCAGAGCCCATTCCCTGAATGTGTGTTCACTCCAGGCAGTGTCGTAGAAATCCGGAGGTGAAGCAAGTGCGGGCTTCTGCTCAAGGGGCTATGGTCATCCAGTCGTTCGTTATGCCAGTGTTTATTCAGTACTTAGTTTGTTACATCTACTATTGAGCATTAGGAACATAGACATGACAAGGTGGACAAGGACACCGCTCCCCTGAAACGTATGGTGGGATGGGGGTGGGGTTACCGGCAGGAAGCAGTATGGCAATTAAAAAGGGATCGATGTCGTGAAAAAGATGCTCCCCTCCAAAGATCCAGCAGGGGTGTCTTTTCCTCTGCAGCCTGTCTGTCCACCCACTGACACCTCCATGGGTGTCCTATGGCCTCCACAAATTTAACTGCTCCAAAGCCGAACTCTAGTCTCTCTCCCTCGCCCTCCCAACCTGCTCCATCTCAAACCAGAAACCTTAGAGTCATCCTGGACAGCTTCTTCCTCCGCTCCCCCTCCAGTGTTCTAGCTTAGGAATCTCTCTTAAGCTTCTCCCCCTCCCTCCATCCACACTGCTTCCATACTAGTCCAGGCCACTGCCAAGCTGCGCTCGGATACCTAGAATTCTAACATACCTGGTGTCCAGCTCCTCTTGCCCCCTCTAGTGTATTCACTTAGCAGCCAGAATAATCTTTTTAATTCTTGAATGGAAAACTATTTATAAAAAAGGAGTAAAGCAAATATGACAGATGATGATGCAAAACTTCAAGAATGAAGTGCTATACAACTATCAATAAACTAGGGACCCGAGAAATTATAATCATTACTAATAATGAAACTGAGGGTCAGAGTTCTTATGAGGTTAATGCAAGGAAAAATGTCAGTATAGCACTTTTTAGTTCAGGTTTTTTTCTTCTCAATTTATCCTCCTGAAACCAGAGGTCAGCCAGTCCTCTTTCCTTTCCTATTTCCGAATGTATGGGTTTTTTTTTTTTTCCTTTATTCATTTTAGAGAGAGAGGAAGAGAGAGGGAAAGAGAGAAACATCGAAGAGAGAGAACATCAATTGGCCGCCTCCTGCATGCCCCCCACTGGGGATCGGGCCACAACCTGGGCATGTGTCCTGACTGGGAATCTGAACTGGCGACCTCTTGGTGCATGAGTCGATGCTCAACCACTGAGCCACACTGGCCGGACCAAATGTATGGGTTTTTAAAGTTATCTTTTTGTTATTGATTCTAACTGAATTGAATTGTGGTAAGAGAACAAATTCTGTATAATATTGATTTTTTTTAAACTAATTGAAGATTTGCTTAAAGGCCTACTACGTGATCAGTTTTTGCAACTATTCCATGTGTGCTCAGAAAGAATGTTCATTCTCTAATCATAGATGCAGTGCTCTCTATATGTTCATTGGAATGAAGCGTAAAAATTATGCTGTTCACAATTTTTACAGATATACTCATTGTTTGTCTGCTCAATCTATCAGTTACTGAGAGAGGTGTGTAAAAATCTCAAATAACGGCCCAGCCAGTGTGGCTCAGTGGTTGAGCATTGACCCATGCACCAAGAGGTTGATGGTTCGATTCTCGGTCAAGGCATGTGCCCAGGCTGTGGGCCAAATCCCCAGTGGGGGGCATGCAGGAGGCGGTCAGTTAATGTTCTCTCACATCGATGTTTCTCTCTTTCCCTCTCTCTTTCTCTCTCTCTAATATCAATAAAGAAAATATAATTTTTAAAAAATCTCAAATAACAATTATAAATTGGTTGGTTTCTTCTTGTCACCTGTCAGTTTTTGCCTGGTAGATTTCTCTTCTCTGTTTTTTGGGTACCCTCATTTTCTTCTTCCTTTTTTGGTGTTCTCTCATCTCAGTCCCACAGTCACACTTCTTCTCCCTCTTCTCAGGGGCCCATTGTGCTGGGCAGAAAGCAGAAAGCCTTACAGAAGAACCGCAGTGCTGATTTCAACCCTGACTTCATTTTCACTGAGAAGGAGGGAATGTATGATGGCAGCTGGGCCGTGGCTGATGTCATGAGCCAGCTCAAGAAGAAGGTAAGACTGATAGTAATAGGCAGTTCTGGTTGGGCTGTTATGATTGAACCAGCAGCATGTTAAGAGGTCTAACCTTGAACTCACTGCCTTTGCCATCTGCTTACATTCAGCAGATATTAGAACTCCTTTGGAAAATGTGGTGTTGTTTTCATGGGTTAGGAAGTGATTATAAATTACCCACAGTTTTGATTAAAAACAAACAAGTGCAAACTGTTGCGAAATGGATTTATTGCAGACTTTAGTTACAAACACACTCATTGATTTACAAATGACATTTAAAGTATCAATAATATTTTATTGTCTTCATTAAAATGTCCATGATAGTCCAGCTGGTGTAGCTCAGTGGTTGAACGTTGACCCATGCACCAAAAGGTTGTCAGTTTGATTCCAGGTCAGAGCACATGCCCAGGTTGTGGGCCAAATCCCCAGTGTGGGGCATGCGGGAGGCGGCCAGTCAATGTTCTCTCTCATCAATGTTTCTATCTCTCTCTTCCTCTCTCTCTAAAATCAATAAATAAAACAAAATGTCCATGACAACTTTTCCTAGAGGAGGGGATAGTGAGCTCAGACTAACTTCAGTTTATACAATAAGAGAGAACTTCCTTGATTTTATAGACATTAAAATGTATGTGTGTGTGGGGGGGGTGGGAAATCTCAGAGGGAATCTGATGATACCAGTTCAGTGGTTTATTTTTATTTATTTTTTTATCCTCACCCGAGAACATTTTTTGATATTTTGTTCAGATAGAGTGGGAGGGAGAGGGAGAGAGAGAGAAACATTGATGTGAAAGGGAAACATTGATGTGAAAGGGACACATCGAGTGGTTGCCACCCTCACAACCCAACCAGGGCCGGGGACAAACCACAACCGAGGAACGTGGGCCGACGCTCTAATCGTTGAGCCAAACCAGCCAGGGCAGATTTCAACATTTTAATTAATAGGCTAAATTATGTCTGATTGGCAAGGGGAAGTTTTTCTAAGTAGTATTCAGATATAATGTGACATCTCTTGGTAAATGTGTTGTTCTGAATAGTGAATACCTAAAATGTGGATGTTCTTATTGGTTCCAGGTAATTTAAAGCACCACCCCCCCAAAAAAAATACACTATTTATTTATTTATTTATTTATTTTTGGTATGTGCCAAACCCGGGAACTCTGGTCCGCAGGCCGACGCTCCAACCGCTGAGCCAAACTGGCCAGGGCTGTACACCACTTATTTAATGTGTTTTTGGCTGTGAATAATCTATGGATTGTCCAAAAACACATTAAATAAGTGGTGTATAGCCCTGGCCAGTTTGGCTCAGCGGTTAAGCGTTAGCCTGTGGACCAGAGAGTCCCAGGTTCGGTTCCCACTAGGGGCACATACCACTAAAAAAAAAAAAAAAAAGAAAAGAAAAAAATAAATAATCTATGGATTGATTAATCTATCCAAGAACAGACTCCCTTTTTATATATTAATGTCTGAAATCCAACCCTCAGAGAAAGCTTGCTTTGTGTCTGTCCCCTGTGTATATTCTTTTCATCTCTCTATTTTTATCTGCAGAGGGCAGCCACTACATTAGATGAGAAGATTGAGAAAGTTCGAAAGAAAAGGAAAACAGAGGTGAGAAAGCAGAACGGTTTCTTCTCTGCGTGGTTAAGCCCACCCGCTGTTTCTCTTCAAGCCCGAGTGGAAGTGCAGCTGGTGCAGGCCGGCTTCGTGTGTCCGTTGATAATAGTCACTAAGAATCCGCAGAGCTCTTTGGAGGTTCTGGGTTTCCTGTAGTTTGTAGTCCCTTTGCTTTATTACACGTCCCTTCCCCCCAGGATAAAGAAGCCAAGTCTGGGAAGTCAGAGGAGAAAGAGGCAAAGGAGGGCTCTGAACCACAGGAGCGGGAAGACCTTCAAGGGAAAGATGAGGAAGACTCAGAAGATGAAGAATCAGAGACCGACTACTCATCAGCTGATGAAAACATCCTCACCAAAGCAGGTAGGTGACGCTGTGGTGCTGTCAGAAACAAGAACAGGACACTGGAAAGTGTCCACCTTTACTTACAGTATTTCCTATGCTCTTTCACACAGTTAAATTTAAGATCTCCATGTTGAAGTCCTTTCTGTAAGCTTCCCTTGTCTTGAGATTTTGTTAGGGTTGTACTTTGTAGAAAGTTTACTCTTTTCCTCATCTCCAGCCTCACACAGCTGCCAGCACCTCTGTGACTCAAACTTATTTAGGTGCTAGGTCTCCTACATCCCACCTCAGATGGGTCCAACCACGTAGTGGGTGCTCCATGAATATTTCTTGCAGAAATGGGAGCTAAAGCATCATAATATAGCATAGAGGTTGAGAACTTGGTCTCTGAAACTTGGTGAGTTTGCTTACTGTCTGACCTTAGGTGAGATGCTTGTCTGCACTGCTGTACTGTGAGCTCATCCTTGAAACAAGGCTAATGACCGTCGTACCCTCAAGTTGTTGTG